ACCACCTCCGAGACCTCTTCCTTTGAGGCACCCATCTCGTCGTAAAAAAATTGTATCGTGGGCCCCAGATTTTTTTCGGTGCTTAGGTTCAGGAGATCCGGGGAGCTGGTGATGACTCTCAGAATGACGTCTCTGGGTAGGTTCAGGGTTTCTACCATCCACGGCACCTGTTTGGCAGAAGATAGCAGCAAGCATTTCTGAGTGCTTGCTCGATAACATAGACAGATGTATCAGCGCCATTTTCGTGCGGCTCTGCAGTCTTAGCAGAGGCTTCGAGATCGCGGGAAACACTGCTGTCCATTCGCTGGCTTCAAAAGACCCTGTCAGGGGCTGCTCCATGAAAAGAGGGATTTGACACTGTTGAAGTGTCCATGGTGTACGAGACGTGTACGCTCATGACAATGTCGGACGATGGCGTCATCAAGCATAATCTGAACGACCACGGACCAGGCGCCAAAATCGGGTTCGTGTGCTTGGTATGTTTGCAACAGGGGCCGAACAACTCACATAACGCAGGATCATCTCCGGTGACACAGCACCTAACACCACCAAACAACCCACCTTGTTCTTCAAGTTGTGCTCGAGGTTTGCGCTAAGGAGCCGCGGTTGCCGCACCACCAACATCCCCGCGACGGACGCGTCCAGGCCTAAATCCTCTTCCAGCCACTTGAGGGTCGGCTCAATGTTGTCCTCGACGCTGTACGCCAGGAGGTTTGGGTACTTCACAATCACCGTAATCAGCTGTTCTTGGGTCAGGCTGAGCCGCTTCTGCAGCCATACAATCTTCCAGTCCATGGTGTCCAGGGCCATGCTCAGGATTGGAGGGAAGGTCATCACGACTCTTTTTACCCTTTCCCTGTCCGTGCCTAGTCGGCCCTCCAGCCACATAAGCTTCCCTTCAATGGTCTCCACCTGCAGATGTTCAATCACGCGCGTTGTACATCGGGGAAGCGTTGGTCACGTACGACAATATTTGGTGCATTTCGCGAAAACCAAAAATACATCATTCATTGGGATCACGAAACGCACATGAAGGGAAAGGTCAACACGACTCCACGTGCCATTTTCTCCCCAATCTAACGCAGAAACACCGTACGTACATACGACACGAGATGACACACCTACATCACACAAGACACCCCCTCCAGAGTACCACACCCAGTGCCGAATACTGTTGGATTTCAAACGAGGAGCCGAAATACCCCCCATTTTTATGTAATATGGCACCCCCTCCCGAGGTTGGGACGAACGAAATCACCTAGCACTGCTATTGTGACCCCGGTTTTGTTGCAAAAGCATGGTCGTAGATGCAGCATGTCTTTCTGTGTTTGTGGGGGGGGGAAGGTGGGGGCAATCAATGGAAGCTAGTTGTACTCTGCGACTACGCGCTTCACAGCTGGTTGATCGAGGCTTCTCCAATGCAAATAAATCAACTTTCATTTCTCCCTCGCCTGCTTGGCATATTCTCGTTGTGCCAGGCAACGGTGATGGATGAATATTCTACCACATGGCAATTTTTCGCTGTTGTCGGGATGAGGGCGCTGTTGGCGTTGATTCGCTGGGGTCATATGATCAGGGCGTCTACCACGTCCCCTGCTATCACACGCTCCCCCTCATTTCCACACGGACTGGAAGTGCGCCCGGCAAGACTTCAACAGTAGGCAGGTGGGTATCAGTGGTGTACCTCCCCCGCTCAGTACCGCACAACCTGCAAATACGGCAGCAGTACGGGAGTTCATTGCAGGCAGTCGTATCACAAACCCTCACATCGTGCCCTGCACGTATGGCAGCAGGCATGGTGCAAACATATTTGCAGGCAGCGCGAACACGTACCCCTAATGACAACACCCCTTTGGGTGCAAGTGTTCTGCAGTGGTATCACACACCCTTCATACCTCCCGCGACCTGCGCTCTATCACCGGGCTACGCAAGGTAACACCCCACACACACACAGAATAAACAACCGGTGACATATTTCTCAAAAACCCAAAATGTTTTTCCCGTAGTGTGGTATCTTCGGCCGTCGGTAGTCCAATTATTCTTGTGTAAAAATTAGGAAAAGTAGTTCAGGCACGCGCCAGTCGTAGGACCCGGCGTTCGCTAGCTGAGCATAGGTCAGTGCAACACCAACACCAGGAGCAACAACCAAAGGGAAAACCTTGAGCGCCAAGACGCGAGGGCTCCGACCAACCAACTTCCGGATCCCGATCACGTCCAATCCCATCCGTTCTCGTAGCCAGGCCAGCTTTGGCCTCATGTTTTCCTCCACACTGAAGGTGAAGAAGGACGGCGAGTTCCTAACGATGCGCTTCACCTCAACCTGGTTCATGGCAAAACGACATACCTGGTTAGACGTAAAAAACGCCAAGGTCCCGCCTATAACAAACCCTTCCAAATGTTGCCGTTCGGCAGTGCTACACCGGTTTGTCTCAGACGAGCGGCAACAAGTGAAAATACGCTGAACAGAAACAATATCGATGTACCGGGGGCGAGTGTTTCTGCAGGTATGAATGATTTCCCTGAACCCGTCTCTTCCCCATCCCGCCGTAAAGGCACTCACATCGGACAGGTTGAGTTCCTCGCCGCGCAAGAACGCGAGCTTCTTGTCCAGGGTGTCCTGCAGGAGTACCAGAACAGAGGACACAGCCATCACGAGTTTCGTCGAGGCCTTCTTGTCCAGGCCAAGGGTGTCCTTCATCCATTTCAGCTTGGGCTTGAGGTTCGCCTCGACGCTTAGCCCAAGGATCACCGGAGCTGTCGATATCATCTTGCCCATGGCCTGGTCATCCAAACCCAATTCCTTCTGCAGCCATTCCAGCTTCGGCTCGAGGTTTTCCACGATCCGGTTACTTACACACTTTGTGTAAGAATCCGTTTTTCGATTGGGAGAGAGGGGGGGGCGGCAGGTGGGCCGGGTTGTCAGGAATGAGTTACGTCTCTGGAACATACGGTCCTGAGTACATTTAAAAGAATACAAAACACATACTTGAAGGTCGAGCTGCGGAACAGCGACGGATCGCACCTGTAATGGCGACGAAAGAAAAGGGTGAGCTAATCACAAATGTTCGAGTATGAGCGTACGTTAAAGAAGCACCACCAGGACGACAAAAGGACCATAAAGTTCGCTGCAAATTGCCTTCAACAAGAAATAAGCTCAAGACAGGCTGTGCCGATGCCCCGCAAACCCAACATTAAACGGTTTTTATCATTCTATTTCGTGTGAGTAACGAAGCACCTGTGGGTAGAACTCCATCATCTTCGCCAAAGTCGCGTCATTGAGGAGCAGCCGCTCCTGGATCCACCGGCCCCTTGCCTCCGTCGTCGACTTTGCGGCCGCTTCCACAGGAAAGTTCAAGAGCTCTGTCGCCTCCGCTGATTTGCTCGCATCAGCCAGGTTTTCCGCTTTTATCCGCATCATCTCCTTCTCATCCCGCCTATGTTGCGATTCCGAAGACTCCTTGACCTCAACTAACGATGGGTTCTTTCTCGGCCTTCCGCGTCTCTTCGGCTTTCCCCGTCTCACCTGTTCCGGCATCGGCCTCTTCATCGACACAACCAATTCCCTGGTCGCCTGCACCAGCTTTGCGTCAGCAGCCGAGGGTGGCGGTGGCTCCGGGAGAGCCGCAAACGCGGCAACCAGATCCTCCTCCTCTTCTTCATCAAGTCCGAGGCGCCCGATCCACCCCGGAAGAGTCTCCGGCGCGGGGGCTGTGGCGGACGCCGTCGTAGGACTGCTACTGCTCACCTGCTGGCACGCTTGGGCGCCGTGGACAGGGTGTCGTTCCTCCGCACTTCGGCTACGACGCCGACGGCTATTTCGACTATCGTCGACTGCGGCGGACGGTGGGGACAACGACGACGACGGTAACGACAAGAAGCACCGCAGGAGCCGCGTGCTGCCACCGATGCTGCTGCCGTGACGTCCGTCCCCGATGCCACCGCGGATTCCCTCGGCACCACCCCGCTCGCCCAGAAAAGGGCACGCATCCCAAAAATTGGCTATCAGCGGCCGGAGCGGGCAGCTTGTGGGCGCCGATTGCAGGGCAAACATGTGGAATCTTTGGACAACAACCTTTTCCCTCTCTTTCTCCGCGCGCTGTTCCCCACTCCACCCGATTCGCTCGCTCTGGCTCTCGTTATCTTCGTTCCTGCCAGTGTGCGTTCTCCGCGCACGATAGATGACGTTCTTTCCGAATATAGAGGCCGGCTGTCAGCCCGGAATCGCGCAGCTTAAGACACCTGAGCAGGCGGGTCAATGGACGAGTGAGTGACACTGTTATGGGCCGTCGGTATCGCACGGAACGCTTTTCCCGAAGGACATGCATGTGTTTTCTAAGGGCGTTGTACACAAGAAGAAAAATTAAGCGCGAACTCCTGTGTGCCCCCGGCTAGATACGGCACACAGAAAACGCCAAAAGGTGTGTAGAACGGAGCCAGAATAGACGGGAAGAACACGGAGTGCGCTGCAGCGGTAGTCACAACGATTCGATCCACGAGTTGGTGGACGAGTTCGACAAGAACTATACATAGCTTGCGTGTGTCGAGTGTTACGAATTTTCGGCGTGTTTTTTGGACGCACCACCCGAGGTGACGGCAAGAAGGCCACATTTGAGTGCATATTAACCATGCAATTGCATCTTGGTTGTAGTTATCAAACATGAACATGTAGCACACATCGCTGTTCCTGCATCGGTCTTGCGCACACATACGTTTGTGCGCAATGTCGACGTCGAAGGTGGCGGTATGTACACATGATTTGACCGTGGCGAATATATGCATGATTAAATTGTGCTGCTGCAATAAGAATGCGAGACAAGAGGAGAACGCAGGGCGCCCAGCATATTCATGCAAACTGAACTTCGCAGTTCAGCTTCCACATCGGTAGTGGGAGTGTAAGTTACATGCGTGACGGCGAGCTAAGAAGCCTTCCCGTGCAGCTGCCCAGGTCTCCGGAACGTGAAACCGCTGATCGTAGACGTATCTCTCATTGAAAAGTCCAGGCTTTGTATCGCTTCCGAGTCACGTCCACCAACACCACACAGCCGAACCCGAGACCGCCACAGTAGTACCCTGCAGCGGTAAGTCCACTCCGTAGTCAAGTGTTACGGCTCCCGTCATGCACTCGACTCTGCATGAAGCACTAATTTGCGTCCAGGCACCCGCATGTCGCGCCCTCCCTTCCTCGAACAAGACGGCACGGACATCCACTCACCGTCTTGCCTGCAACCCGCCAAGCGCCACCTCTGAATATAGCAGAACCTCGGTTGTATCCTTGATGCCTCCGAAGGGTATTTGCCAAGTGCCAACTCCCTCAACCACCGCTACGCCGAGCTCTACCGGTCTGTCGGTGCTGCTGTACATGCACCAGTACGGACCCCCCCATCAAGGTGGCGAGATGAGGAGTAACGAGAAACGGGTATACCCGGGTACTTTGTCACCACTTTCGGTTACACTTAGAAATCAACCCGCCTGCACCCCCAGGTACCCCCAGGTAGCCGGCGGCATCTCCAGACTGTCTGGTGTTACCGATGCTGGTTACTGGTGTACCCGGAAAGGGTCGATTTTGCACCCAGAAATGGTCATATACTCCCGGCGCCGACGACTCTAAAACCCGCAGGAAAAACCGAATACCGCATATACCCGCACGACACACCATATACCGCACATAGTCTACCCACAGTAGCTACACAACCCCACCAACGCTTGTTGACGGGCACATTGCCTTCAAGGATACCAATCTCCGACAGCCTCCTCCGGAGATCGCGGCGAAAAACCAACCGCCGTGCCCGGCCCCCGGAGGGAGTTCCTAACCACACACAACACGCCTCACCCATGCACCACACGGCGGTCATCATGCTGGGCAGTGGCAAACATTACAAAGACGCGAAAGCCTTATGGCTAGATGTGGCGGCCATGTTCTCGGCAGCTGGCCGTAGCTTTCATTCCGGGAAGGGAGGCGGCAGGCTGAAGAAGTATATATGCAATGGCGCCGCAGCAGGATGCCAGGCGACCGTGCGCGTCTGCAGGCAGAGGTCGGGAGAGTTCAAGGTGACGTTGTTCATCCCGGAACACAACGACTGTTCTGGCGGCAAGGTCGGAGCGGAAGCGGCTGCGCTCGAGGGCTTCGCCAGTGCCGCCATGGTCAGCAACCCGACCATGAAGGGCACCGACCTCAAGAGGAGCCTGGAGCAGAGCACAGGACTCAGGGTCAGCTACAGCACGGCGTCGCGCCTGAAGGTCGTGGCCACGAGGGCGTCGAAGGAGCAACTGGAGAACGGGTACCGCATCATGGACTCGTACTGCACATGCGGGTTCCCCGCGAGATTCCAGATCCCTTGCTGCGAAGTAATTGCCGTGGCTAGAGGTAAGCGAGGTACCTAGTGGGCACAGCAGTAGTCTTGTGACCGAAAAAAACGATGAACGTGAACCTCTTGCTGCCAGGAGCCCTCCAGCAGCACTCTGTGAGTGTGTTGTCGCGCAATCGATCGGATCACTTGCCTGCTTATTCGCGTGTTGACACGGCAAACCTGTTTTTGCGCTGCATGCTCTGTCTCTGTCCTCTTGGCATTGTGGCGGGTCTTTTGTTTTCAGTGTGTTCATTTTAGTTGTTTCCTGCGTGTTTTTTTTTTTTTCTCTTTGTCCTGTCTTCCTCGGATAGTGTATTTTCTCTATCTTTGTGGAGTATCAAGATTGAGCCAGGGGATGAACTACCATATCTGGCCTGTGATTATACCTTTTTTTAGGCAGCGTAGCCTGTGACCACCGGAATCGCTCGGTCAAGTGTTTGATAACACAAGAAATAAGCGGTCTACGTTCGCGCACTTCCAATTGAACGAACTAGGACCCTTTCTCGAAAGCGATTCACACACCCGCACCCGCAAAGGCAGCTTCGAGGTCGTGGTTACATGCGGTGCTTCGGCCACAATACGTGACAGCAAAAGTCTAACCGATGCCAATATATCTAATGTATTCCTTCTGATGCTCCATGATTGGAAAACAGGTGGCAAGATACTTTGCTTTCGGTCAGTCCGCCGTCGCGCGTCAGTATCCCTTTCGGCCGCGGTCGGCAGAAACTAACCACGCTTTATCACTACTACTGTCATTTCCCTCTTCTGTCGTTGTCCATGTTGCCCCCTCCTTCAATACACGCAGAGGAGGACAAGATGGACGCTGTCATGACCCTGATGCACCCGGCCTTTCGCCACAATACCACCGCCAGACCTACGCCGACGACGCGTACCAGGTCATGCTGCCTGTGCCGTCCACGCTGGAGGAAGATGACACGCTGCTACCTCCTCTCCCCGTGGATGGTCAGGCCGGCGCTCCTAAGAAACTCGGGCCGAAGAAGTTCAAGAGGATCGCGGGGCGGGGGGACAAGTACGCTTCGTCGTCGTTCAACACGCGAGTTTCTGAACTCGGCCCGGCTGCATCCGGAACCACGGCGGCTCCCTCTCTGTCGCAGGGGGGTGCCACGGCGGCTCCCTCTTCGTTACAAGGGGGGCGTGCGGGCGGATCGGTCACGGTCGGGGGGATGGTGATCATTTTGACACGCTGAGTGCCGCCCGCCGAATGACGACGTGCGTTGCCGTTTTTGTACGTGCCATGCACTACGCGATATTTTATTTTCGTGCCGTGCACTCCCCGGTGAAGAATCGGGGATCGAGGGCCTTGACATTCATGTAGCCGACGACCAAATGGGTGATGACGATGGTGGATAATGGTGGGGACGGAGGTTTTTAGGATCTTTGACACTTTCGTCTTTCTTTTCTTTCGCTTTCGTGTTCCATGCGGTACGTTGGTTAAGTTCAATGCAAGGCGCAAGCGAGTGTGCTTACCCTTTCGCTTTGATTGTTCATCGTTGATGTGTAGCACACACCCTCTGCTGACTAGGAACTTCCGGGGTACACGTTGCTGTTACACAGGGGAAGTAAACGAGCGTGTCGTGTTCAGATGTAGAGGTCGGAACCCGTATTCTGGTGTGGCATTCGAGGTCCTTGCGAGGGGGGGGGCGAGGGGGGCGGGGCCACCACTTTCCTTCAAGAGATGAGAGTGTTCCCATGAT